CCCCCCCCAAAAAAAAAATAAAAAAAAATATAGCGTATTGTTTAATTCAGCTTGAAATCCGATTTTAATTTAAATAATTGTATCCCAGGATAATCCAATTTTTCCGGGATAAGCAAAAAATCTGGGAACTAAGAAACCTTAGTCAAAACGGAGACAAGTTTATCATTCATATTGTAAATTCAGTGTCCAAGTTTAAAATACAGGAAGCGCATTTCTTGTTTAAAGGCTATAACTATTTTAAGAAATATATAGCACAGGGTTAGGGGAAAACCCCACAGGTTAGGGGAAAACCCACAGAGAGACTAAAACAAAAGAGATGACATTCCACCTGGAATCCTTCGAATGATGTAAAATAGAGAAGAAAAACTAACAGAATAAAACAGAATTATAATTTAGCTATTTTACACCACTTCTCAAACATTTTTTTTTCTCTCTCTCCACATTTATAAGATTGCAAATACAGTTATGTCACCTTTTCTTTGACAGTGTTGTCGGACAGAGTTGACCAGCAGGTGCATATGACGTCATTTGCCGGAGCTATTTTCTTCATGAGTTTTGAAACATGTCAAAGCCGTCGGTGAAATCAGAAAGGACCATAACCCCGATAGAGAGCCCGGATGTTGGAGAAGTGGCTAAATATGACCGGAGGACGGCGACGCCTCACAGGGAAGCTACATCACCAGAGGCGCTGTCTCATAGGGGCACAACATCACCTGGGGCGCCGTCTCATAGGGAAACACCATCACCAGGGGCGTCGTCTCATAGGGAAACACCATCACCAGGGGCGTCGTCTCACAGGGAAACACCATCACCAGGGGCGCCGTTTCATAGGGACACACCCTCACCAGAGGCGCCGATGATAGCAGATTATGGCGACGTCATGATGAACGAGCAATCATCTACCGATACAGCCCATGAGAACATCGACTCGACTCGAGCGTCGGGTCTTCCCGGTCACCACGATGACGTAGTCATCCAACCAACAACGCACATGTGGTCTGGACACGACAGACGCGACGCAGAACACACCTTCGACAACTCAGACAGCCTTGAAAATAACTGTCCAGACAACAGTGAGCAGACGAGAGAGGTGCGTGACAAGGATAACATCGAAGTCAAATCAGTACACGGGAGCACGGGGACTGTGGGACGCATAGAGGGAAGTGACGACGAGTACGCCTCTATGGGTACTGCTGAAATTAGATTTGGTGGTAATTATGAGAGAATACCTCACGGCGATGATGCTGAAATGCCCGGTGCTAATGAAGACGATGTCGCGCGGGTAGATAGAAGTGATGAACAAACCGGCAACGGCAAAAAGACAACAGGTCATTCTGAAATCTATGTTCGAGACGCGACGCCTGAGGTCAGCCAAACGTCCGTGGCATCGACCAACAGAATTCCGTCGTCTTCTCGGCCATCATCTGGGAACTATTACAACCAAAGGGTCAAGCGCCTCTCAACACCAAGCTCAAGTCCGATCCCGGTAACAGGAGCAGGGGGGCACCCTGAGGTGGAAACTGATAACGGCCAATCGTCACGTACCTCTGACGACGTCGCGTTGACACAACGCTCGGAAACAGACGGCATCAATGCTACACCTCAGGCGGCCGACACAACTCAATCCAGCCAAATAACAACGGGACATGTAGCGGACGGCAGGGAGAAAAGATTCATTGATTTAGATGACTCTGTAGAAGGCTCGTATTTCGCTTTGTTTAAAAAACCCGAGTCCTCCGATGGCCAGGAAGCCGTTCGAAATTCAACAATTCTGGCAAACGAGGACCAGGTGGCAGCACTGGCATCTGGAGAAACGGCGCATCAACGCTCGGAAGAATCAGACACTTCCGGTGGTTCTGACAGACCTCAGGTCACCGGAACAAGCGCGATGGAAGAAGGCGACGCTCTCATCGCTAAGACAACGACACCACCGCCAGAGGTAGACCCGACTGCTGGTGATAGTGATCTAGACACCGTTTCAAATATTGACCGCAACACGGACAGCGATGAAAGCATTGATCGTAAACCAGACGACGAGAAGTCGGTAATTGAAAATGTAGACATCGACCGACGTGTTGACGGTGTCGTTGACCATGACGTAGATGGCAATAAACGACCAGGCGCTCGTGAAATTGACGTTGATGGCAATGGCGTCGTTGTAGTGGTAACAGGAAAGGCGTCGTCATTAGAGGGAAATAACTCCTCTAACGAAAACGGCGACATAGAAACTGTTGACGACAGGAATATACCAGGAGGTAACCCGCCAACTGGTTCTGACATCACCGGCGAAGATAAAATGGCGGAACCTGCAGTTGACGACAACAGTGACACGCCAGTACTAGAAGGTGAAGGGGGACTCAGGGACCAGGAGGGAGATGGTGGTGACACGGAGGGCAACAATGAAAACGAGAACAGGAAAGCCAGACCTGAGCATTCGTCCGAGAAAACCCACAGCGGATCGACCGGAAGTCCCATCAGGGCTAACTCGACCCACGCACCGTTTGAAGAGATGACGGCCATTGAGAGGCTGAAGTACGGGCCGTACGCGGAGAGCTTGAAAAATCTGAACAGACCGGCACCGCCCCCCAGGAACAGCAACCACGGCGCTTCGAGCAAAGCCAACGGCAAGAAAGCCAAGAACCAGAAACTTGTGAAGAGGGGTCAAGGTCACGAAGAGCCGGGCAGCGGAAGCGCCAGACACGTTTCCAAGACTAAGCCCGATGAGAAAACGGGGGCCGGGGGTAATCAGAGAAAGGTCAAAGGTCAGACAGCACAGTCGGCCCCGGGGAAGGCTGAGTCGGATAAGCAGAATAAGCAGAAGGAGAAAATAAGCTTTTTCAAGAAAACTGTTCACGTACGGGAAATCCCGAAACACTCGGACACCACGGGTGCTAAGACTAACGACGAGATCTCTGCGGACGCGGGCGAGGCACTTTTAAATGAAGATGCAACAATGACTGCCGCCGAGAACACAAAGCTCATCAGTCCGACAAGCCTCGACGCGACAGAACTACACCAGAACTCCGACCGCCTCGCCGAGACACACACGCCTAATGGCGAGATCAGAAAAGGAGATGGACAGGGTGATGTCACAGTGCCCAACGGTGCACCCGTGATGGGCCCTGAACTCCCGGACGGTCCCCCCTCAGAGCGGGGAAACCAAGACGCGGGGAAAACGCCGAATAAGAAGGAAGCCGACGCGACCAAAAACGGCCAGTCAGAGAAAAAGGGTTCATCCTTTCGAGACTTGTTCGGGGGTAAAAGTAAAGCGCGCGTCTCGTCCCCGAAAACCAACGAGAAGCAGGCGGCCAAGTACTCGCCGCTAACGGCTCCGCGAGGCACGCATTCTGTCAACGGGATCCTCATCACCACGACGACGGCAGAGGACGCCCAACAGCAGCAGCAAACCCCCGCGGGGAACGCGCCCGTTTCGTTGACCGTGGTGGACGAGACGGCGTCGAGCGCACACAGCAAGGCCGGCCGCGTGGTCCTCGCCAACATGAGGCTGAAGATGAGAGAGAAAACCCTGTCGAGCTCCATCAACTCCAACTCTTCGCTCCCCGTCCACGGAAGGTCAAGGTCACCGTCGCCGGAGACCAGCTTCGGGAGCACCGGCTCGAAACCGGCCAAAGTGGCCCACAAGACCCACAGCATGAGCTCCCTGCAGGTTCCCGGCCCCACCCCGAACACGACCCCGAGGGAGGCGGCCCAGGAGGAAGACAACTTCTCGCTGTCGTCGAGGAGGGACTCGGCGCGCCACTCGTTCGACTCCTCGGCCAGGAGATCCATGGAGTACCGACTTCAACACACGACGGCCGCCATGCAGGCCGAGGCAGACGAGAAGCCCAAGTCGGTGTTGACCAATGATGAAACGTTCATCAAGAACGCCATTCCGTACCTGCCCCTCGGACTGGCCATCTGCTGTCTCATTCTGAACGTGATCATCCCAGGGTCAGGTGAGTGAGTCCGATACATAGATACAGGTTCGCTATCACATATACAGGCTCGCTATCCATAAACCTCGCATTGCTGACCAACTTGGTCTGGTTAAAAATCAATTAGCTGGGCATTTATTTCATCAAAATAACTACCAGTAATTTTCGACCTTCATAAAAAGTTCAAATTTATTAAATATTCTTTTTAAAAACTATTTAAATTCATTTTTAATATTCAATGTAACAGATCAGTGGTTCCCATTTAGTTAAGGACAACCAATATTCTATGAAACAGAGCAGTGGTTCCCATTTAGTTAAGGACAACCAATAAAATCATGGACGAAATAAGTGGATCAACAATTACGGATAAATAAGGAAGTAAGCTAAACAAAATATTGACTACCTTATTCTTGGTAAAGTTGGTTTAAATTCAGAGCGTTCATTATTTATAGCTCACAGTTTCTAGCCTGTCAATTCTACCCGAACTCTCCCAGGTACAGCTCTGAGCGGCCTGTCCATTCTGTGCTGTGGTCAAGCCAGAGTCTCCAACAAGAACGACCAGATTTTGACCACTCTATGCGCCAACTGCATGGTGGGTGTGGCCCAGCTCTTCACCGTCACCTTCTTCCTGGTCGGTTGGTTCTGGTCAATTGGATGGGGCATTCAGATGGTGTCTCTTTCAGGTATGGTAGTACGGGGGCATTCAGATGGTATCTCTTTCAGGTATGGTACATACGGGGGCATTCAGATGGTATCTCTTTCAGGTATGGTACATACGGGGGCATTCAGATGGTATCTCTTTCAGGTATGGTACATACGGGGGCATTCAGATGGTATCTCTTTCAGGTATGGTACATACGGGGGCATTCAGATGGTATCTCTTTCAGGTATGGTACATACGGGGGCATTCAGATGGTATCTCTTTCAAGTATGGTACATACGGGGGCATTCAGATGGTATCTCTTTCAAGTATGGTACATACGGGGGCATTCAGATGATATCTCTTTCAGGTATGGTACATACGGGGGCATTCAGATGGTATCTCTTTCAGGTATGGTACATACGGGGGAATTCAGATGGTATCTCTTTCAGGTATGGTACATACGGGGGCATTTAGATGGTATCTCTTTCAGGTATGGTCGTATGGAGACATCCAAATGGTATCTCTATCGAGCATTGTTAGATGGGAGCCCTTCAGATGGTATCTCTATCGATTTTTGTATAGGTAAGAATAATGCCCCACACAACCAATTTTGACTAATTTATTCTTTGTTTTGGCACTAAGCCCTACCATGTGAAGACATTTTTGTTATTACCTCAAGCGTACGTACAAAGGTCGGATGTAAAAAAAAAAATAGTATAAACGATCTAATTTATCAATTCTCTAGTTTCTGCCATCCTTATACTTATTGAAAGGCTTTGCCCCCCCATGAACTTGTCATTGCAGAGTTTTGGCCTTTGAACTTTTCATTGGAGAGTTTTGCCCTTTGAACTTTTCATTGGAGAGTTTTGCCCTTTGAACTTTTCATTGGAGAGCTCTGCCATCTGAATTTTTCATTGGAGAGTTTTGCCCTCTGAACTTGTCATTGGTGAGCATTGCCCTCTGAACTTGTCATCATAATTGATTGGAATTACGAAAACTGTTAATGAGGGCCAAACAAAATTTTATATCCGAGAGTCTGACTCCTGTCAACTTTTATATCTGAGAGTCTGACTCCTGTCAACTTTTATATCTGAGAGTCTGACTCCTATCAACTTTTATATCTGAGAGTCTGACTCCTGTCAACTTTTATATCCAAGAGTCTGACTCCTATCAACTTTTATATCTGAGAGTCTGACCCCTGTCAACTTTTATATCTGAGAGTCTGACTCCTATCAACTTTTATATCTAAGAGTCTGACTCCTGTCAACTTTTATATCTGAGAGTCTGACTCCTGTCAACTTTTATATCTGAGAGTCTGATTCCTATCAACTTTTATATCTGAGAGTCTGACTCCTGTCATACCGAAATTTATATTGATTGAAGTCATGGTGGCAAGTTTTCTAAACTATGGATCAGCACCCCCTCCCGTCCCCACTCCCCTCGCGGGCGTCATGAGGACTCAATGATAATAAAATAATATTTTTTTGTTTAAAATTTAAAAAAAATTGACTTTTCTTGTTAAAGCAGAGATAGATTTTGATGTGGAGATTTTGTATCTGTCTGTCTAGTGTAACTTAGAGTCACAACCCAACGTACTGTGGTTATCAGTGGTTCAGTTGTCGGCAGCTAGTGTAATATAGAGTCATACCCAACATTCTGTAGTTACTAGTGGCTCAGCAGAAGTCAGCTAGTGTAATATATAAGAGTCCTAACAAACATAGTGTAGTTGCTTGTGACTCAGCAGTTGGGCATTTTTAATGTAAACAGTCTATGCTATTTCTTACTATCAAATGCAGGGGGTAAAGGCGACTTAAACAAATCTATTTTGGAGTAACAGCTAAACATTAAAAGTTCCCCGACTCCTGTGCTAGACTAATATAAAGTCATGTGTCACGTCTCTGTAACTGTAGACTAATATAAAGTCATGTGTCACGGCTCTGTATCTATAGACTAATATAAATGTGTCACGTCTCTGTAACTATAGACTAATATAAAGTCACGTGTCACGTCTCTGTAACTGTAGACTAATATAAAGTCATGCGTCACGGCTCTGTATCTATAGACTAATATAAATGTGTCACGTCTCTGTAACTATAGACTAATATAAAGTCACCTGTCACATCTCTGTAACTATAGACTAACATAAAGTCACGTGTCACGTCTCTGTAACTGTAGACTAATATAAAGTCACGTGTCACGGCTCTGTAACTATAGACTAATATAAAGCCATATGTCACGTCTCTGTATCTATAGACTAATATAAATGTGTCACGTCTCTGTAACTATAGACTAATATAAAGTCACGTGCCACGTCTCTGTAACTATAGACTAATATAAAGTCACGTGTCACGTCTCTGTAACTGTAGACTAATATAAAGTCACGGGCCACGTATCTGTAACTATAGACTAATAAAAAGTCACGTGTCATGGTTCTGTAATTATAGACTAATATAAAGTCACGTGTCACGTCTCTGTAACTATATACTAATATAAAGTCACGTGTCAAGTCTCTGTAACTATAGACTAATATAAAGTCACGTGCCACGTCTCTGTAACTATAGACTAATATAAAGTCACGTGTCACGTCTCTGTAACTGTAGACTAATATAAAGTCACGGGCCACGTATCTGTAACTATAGACTAATATAAAGTCACGTGTCACGTCTCTGTAACTATAGCCTAATATAAAGTCACGTGTCACGTTTCTGTAACTGTAGACTAATATAAAGTCAAGTGTCACTGCTCTGTAACTATAGACTAATATAAAGTCAAGTGTCACGTCTCTGTAACTATAGACAAATATAAAGTAACGGGTCACGTCTCTGTAACTGTTGACAAATATAAAGTCACATGTCACGTCTCTGTAACTATAGACAAATAAAAGGTCAGGCGTCACGGCTTTGTATCTATAGACTAATATAAAGTAAAATGTCACGTCTCTGTAACTGTAGAATCATATAAAGTCACGGGTCACGTCTCCGTACCTATGTCAAGCCACCCAAACATGGAATGGCTTCATCAAACTTTGTTGACATCCCTTAGATCGATACGCAAACAATAAGGGAAATAACGGATTTAATAACGTGCTGTCAGGTGCCTGGCGGCCAATGCAACCTAATGTTTTATTTATTTGAGCTCTTTCTACACTTCTCCGATTCCCAAATCCCTTTGTATGACAGTGTTCGATCTGTTTCTCCACGGCAACAGTACCCCAGAACACAACTCACCCCCCACCCCACACACACACACATTCGCATAGACCCACTTCCCTCGATGCCAACACAACTGTAAAAGTCTATACATAAGATTAGTAGCGCCCTCTACCGCTTGAAGAAACAGTTTGCATAAGACAAGTTAGTCTTTATTTATCTGTGGTTAACAAGGGTCACCCTCATTTTTTTTATCAGTGGTCCCCAAATCTTATTTTCTTCCCCAACAGCTAAAAATACTAATAAGTTTCTCTTTACGTCACGAATTCTAGGAGAAATTTTAAACCTAAATAACTACTTTATTTTATTTATCCACAGAAATACATTGAACACAGCGATCCATAGCANCCAATCGGCGTGTGTACCAATCGGCGTGTGTACCAATCGGCGTGTGTACCAATCGGCGTGTGTACCAATCGGCGTGTGTACCAATCGTTCATTCAGTTCGACGAGAAAATGCCAGCGCAGACAAAAAGTAAGTGAGACTCGTATAAAACTTTGGCAAAAAAAACACAACTCAGCGAACCCTGTCTACGTGCAAGGCCGGGCTGAGAGAAACACACGAGGCAGCGAACCCTGTCTACGTGCAAGGCCGGGCTGAGAGAAACACACGAGGCAGCGAACCCTGTCTACGTGCAAGGCCGGGCTGAGAGAAACACACGAGGCAGCGAACCCTGTTTACGTGCAAGGCCGGGCTGAGAGAAACATACGAGGCTGCTCGAGAATCAAAGTCAACAAAGATCTACCGAATGAGACACAGTTACGGTGGTGCCTCGTCTCATGAACTTCATTCGTTCCTGGCTGTGGTTGGCATCTTGAAACCCCATTCACTTCAAACAATCACCTCATGCGTTCTCAAATTGAAAAGAATAAATCAAATAATTAAAGCAAAAACCCAGCACCTCTTACCTAAATTTACGAAAAAAATACAAAGAAATGGATCAGGAGTAAGAAGCAGCACTTTTCGTTAATACTTATACATTTGGAGGAAGGACGTATCCCAAAGATACTGCTGTATGGAGAGTTGGCAGAGGGGACAAGACATGTTGGACGACCGCGTCTGAGATTTATTGACGTTTGCAAACGAAGCATGAGGGAAGCCAAAATTGAAACAAACGAATGGGAGTTAATTGCCGAACATCGCTCCAACTGGCATACAGCAGTAATTGAAGGAGTAAAAAAGGCAAAAGATACTCGAAACGAGGCCCATAAATCAAAAAGAACAATTTGGAAATCAAGATCTTACCGGGATTCAATATTTCCTGCGAGCGATGCGGCCGTGATTGCCATTCTAGGATTGGCCTAGTGAGCCACTCGTCAAAGTGTAGAACTATAGAGCTACTCCATCGTCTCACGTAGACGGAAGGATGCCATATATATACATTTGGTGCACAAATGACACATTTTTAGTTATCAAACTTTGGTTTTACAAGATCCATTTGGATGTGGTATGAAAAGGAAAGCAACACATTCCACTCAGCGGTGGCTTGTTTCTGAACTTTTTGAAGCGCAACACGTTCTCGATATCAAAACAATCTCCACATTCTTCTCCCACCCCCCCACCCCCCCCCACCCCCCCCCCCCCCATCTGAATCGGATAAAAAGTATTGTCGTAAAATCAATTTGAAAATAATAATGATGTAACAGTTTTCCTTGTTTGATGAACCTCCCAGAGGCAATCCACAAATGGACCGTACAAAGATTTACCAGAAAAATAAACTCCAAAAGAAAAACAATCTCCTACTGCTAATTAAAATTGCAGTAAAATCAACTTTTTTCTGGGTCTGCCCGCACCCATTGACACTGCCAGAGGAGGCGGGGCGCCACTAGTTA